TGCCGAAAAAGGGGGATGCGCGCGGCGAGGGATGCATGGCCAATGTCTACCACAAAAGCCATTGTCCGCCACTTACTGAATTCGTCGAGCCTCCCTCGCTTTTCCACCCCTACCCCCGCGCCAAATCCAACGTACACACACACACCCAAAAGAGAAAGAGCTACGCGCGCCACCCGATGTAAAACACTTCCCGTGAATTTTATTGCTCTAGGTATACCTTCTCGTATACCTTCACGTGCACAACGCAGCAGCTAACCTGGAACCATCGCCACCCCTGGCATTTGCTTATACGCTCGGGCGTGAATCTGACCGCGGCAACATTCAGATGTACATGCATGTACGTACACATACGCGCGTATACACGTCGTAGTTATTGCTTGTGTACACATACAGAACGCGCGACTGCACGTGTATTTACCAGCGACGGCGAGGTAGGCGGGTCCGCAGTTACAAATGTCACCGTAAAATTACTTTTTAATTATCGTCGAGAGGATTTCGCTTATTACGCGATATTCCGCTCCCGTTCCTGAGACGGAGAGAATCCGCCCGAAATTTTCTATTTTGTTCGCGCCGCTGACCCTCGGACTCGTCTCGCAGCGAACAACGGTACTTTTAATTTAGATAAGATTGCCCCCTTTATACGTCGCGAGGCATATAGAAAGCCTCACGTAGGCCGTTGGCATCGCCCGAATCGAAGTAATTCTTACCTTGGCGCGATTGCGATCGTCTGCGTTTCACGTTTTTAAAATCGCGCTGGATATGGAGTACGAAAAAAGATAATGTGAAGAATCGCGGATGATAACACGAGTTAAATTTTAATTTTTTTAATTAGTCCCGCGTCGTTCAATGCTTTTATATTTTCTGTGCATTCGGTATTTGTGTTTCATTTTTAACAAACTTTCTAACGTTGAGAAAATTATTTTCCACAAACGTGAGATGAAAAATGAATAATCATACAAGTTCTTCACAAATATTTTATTGATTCTTTATCGACAAATATGAAATCTTGCGTCTTATAATACGTTTAAGTGAATTTTGAGCAACTCGAGGACTGAGAAAACCCTCGTTTATTTTCGGCGAATGAAAAGTTCGGCCAAGAACCGGTCCTCTCTTTCGTCCGCCGAATATTATCTCGGCGACAGCGCGGACGATTCGTTTGCGCCCGGCGGTAAATCCGCGAATTAAAGAACTTATTCCATTTGGGCAGCCAAAGGGGTGTGAAAGCTTTCGCGTTCGTATTATCTCTCGGCCCGGTCGTCGGAGACGGGGAGACAGAAGCGGGGGAGGAAAAGGGGTGTGCAAAAAGGGAAAGAGAGCGTAACCGGCAGGAAGGCGAGGACGAAGAACGAGGGCCGGGAGTGACCTGGCGAAAGGAAGAGGGAAAAAGAGGATATCCCAGGACGAGAGGGTAAGAGAGAAAGAGAGAGAAAGCGAGAGGGGGCGCGTTTAGACGTTCGTTCCGCTGGTAACAAAGATAACTCTATGCAATAAAAATGATTCAAAGTTTCCCGCAGCGGCGGATGGCGGTTCCGATGGCGGAGCGGTTGACAATGGTGCGTCTTTGTCTCCGTCCCGCACCACACCGACGTCCCTTGACTCGCCGCCACTTCTGTCCCACCGCCACCCCCGTCCGTATCCTGCGACACCTATCTTCCGGTTTAAAGTCCCGGCGTGCGCGCCAGAGAGGAACCTCGCTAACTTTTATTATTTACGACCGATATTTCAGCCAGGCCCGAGCGCGTACATTTGGTTAGCGAGCGAGCGCGAAGTGGCCGCGCCACGTTTAACGCGATCGACGCCTTCGAGAAATCTCGCCGAGGTAAGACTCGAAATTAGCCCGATTTATCATGTATGTTCGAAGCCGCATAAGTACTAATTTTACGTTTTGTCATCTTTCTCCACATTATTCAACGCGAACGATACACAGAGGGAATTTTCTCTTAGACTTTATCCTGAAATTTTCGTTAATCGTGGGACGATATTGGAAGAATTTTATGAGAGTTTCTTGGATTATTTAGCACAATAAAAAAATACTAATATCTATCACAATAATATATAAAATATGTACATAATAAAATTAATATTAATATTTTTTATCGCGCTAAATAATCAATGAAACTCTCATAAAATTCTTCCAATATTGTCCCACGATTAACGAAAATTTCAGGATAAAGTCTAAGAGAAAATTCTCTCTATACGTATAGTGACACAATGTCAAAAAAATGTCGAGTCAAATTGATTACGAGTTTTAATCAATTTCTGATTTAAATCAATGATGGTTAACGAAACGTTATGTCATCGCGTTATTAAAAACTGACAATGAGTAAAAATGAATCGAATATCACACGGCTTATCGAATCAACGGATGAACGAGCGACGATCAGTACCGAGAGACCCTTCGTCCGCACTTATTTCTCTCCTCTTCCTCGTCACCCTCTCGCGGGTACCTTTATCTGTCTACCTCTAGCTATACACATACGCGCGCGACCCTTCCCCCGATGAAGGGTCTGAATTTGCATTTTATTCGCAGTCGTATGGAACCGCGGGTCCGTCCGTGCGGCCGGCGCTCCTCCGCGACGCGGACATTTATTTTAATTAAATTACTCCGGAGCGTCGAACAACCCATTTCCTATAAATTATCCCCTGGCCGCTCTTTTGCGTTCGCGCGCGCCGAGGCATTAACGTAACCCGCTGATCCCGCGGTGCCATTGAAATGAAATAAAAGCACCACAACGGTGAGGACGGAACCCGTACCGTTCTTTCTCTCTCTCTCCGCCATTCTCGCCGCGATTCCGTCGTTTCCCTTTCATTTACCGCGCAATCATTTTCCGCGAGTGCACCGGTAACGCGAACTAGCCTCAAGTTGCCTCGAGGAAACAAATTCTCTCGTCATTCTTTCCCTCGATTTCTTTTTCTAGATTTTATCGATTTATAGCGATATTTAATTTAAATTATTGTATTTAAGAAATATACCTAAAGATAATTGCACCTTGAGAAAAAAATTGTTAAGTTGATTAAACCGTTATTCAACTAAATTGCTATTTTTGTTAATTGAACATAAGTATATTAGTATTTAAGTCAAATATACGTTTTGTTAGATTTAATATTGTTATATTTAATTTAAATATTTCTATATAATCAATTAACAAAATAGTATTTAGTTGAATAATTTAATCGAGTCAACAACTTTTTTTTCCGGTGCACACATAAGAAATGTGAAAGATAATTGTACACACATATATATATACAATAAGAAATGTAAAGGTAATTGCACATACATATATATATATATATATATATATAGAAATATAAAAATAATTGCACATACTTACGTATAAGAAATATAAAGATAATTGCATATATGTATATATAATAAATATATAAGGATAATTGTACTGCCATAAAATAGTTTAAAAATCATGTTTTCCATTAAAAAAAAAGTATTAATAAAAAATGCTAATTTCTCAATTTACATTTAGTTTTATACAATTATTCTTTTATTAGACGGAATATTTATTTATTGTTCACATCTTTTGTATATCAGTATGCTCAGAAATAAATTTATATCCAAAATATAAGATAAAGCAAAATTGATATTGTAATATGTGTCATTTACTTACATGTTTTGTATATTAGTATACTTTGAAATAAAATTATATTCAAAATATGTTTATGTAGAGAAATTAATATTGTAATATTTATATATCATTTACATCTTTTGTATATCAATATGCTCCGAAGTAAAATTATATTCAAAATATAAGAGATTATGAAAAGAAATCGATATTATAATATTTATGTATCATTTACATCTTTTGTATATCAGTATGCTCAGAAATAAATTTATATCCAAAATATAAGATGAAGCGAAATAGATATTGTAATATGTGTCATTTACTTACATGTTTTGTATATTAGTATACTTCGAAATAAAATTATATTCAAAATATGTTTACGTAGAGAAATTGATATTGTAATTTTTATGTATCATTTACATCTTTTGTATATCAATATACTCCGAAATAAAATTATATCCAAAATATAACAGATTATGGATAGAAATTAATATTGTAATATTTATATATCATATATATCATTTATATCTTTTGTATATTAGTATATACTCCAAAATAAAATGATATCCAAAACACAAGATTATGAAGAGAATTGATATTGTAATATTTATGTGGCATTTACTTACGTGTTTTGTATATTAGTAAGCTCCGAAATAAAATTATATTTAAAATATGTTTATGTAGAGAAATTGATATTGTAATATTTATGTATCATTTACGTATTTTGCATATTAGTATGCGAAATAAGATTACGTTCAAAATATGTTTATGTAGAGAAATTGATATTGTAATATACGAATTAATTTTAAATACTTACATATTTATATTTTGTATAAATGATCATTTAGATAATTTGTATATTATAATAAGACAAACAATTTTGAATAATATGTATAACAAATGCTATTGCATTCTATTATTCCATTTTAATCGAATACTAATATAAATAAATGTATTGTCATCTTTCAAACTTTGATTGAGATTACAAGTAAAAAAATAATATCGCGTTCACATTTAATTTAGCAAATACTTTCCTTAATGATTAATAATATAAATTTCATACTTGAATTATCATTATCATCTCGTATTGTACAAATATAAATTGCCAAAAATATATGTTACACATACATGTTATAGCGTATGCCGAGGTAATAAAAATTGATAATCAATACTCGGAGAAATCCATACGTAAAATTGTGAAATATTAAACGTCGAATAAATAAATCTTGTTTATGTGAAAGCAGCCTTATCGTTGAATATAACGTGCGGAAAAGCAGCGCACGCGTTAGCAACGCCGTGAAGGTTAGGTAAGGTTAGATCGCGCGTACACAACGCGCTGCGTATTTACGAAGAACGGCTTTCGTCCTTAATATAAAATACCTTGAACGACGGATGTCATGCACAAATAGAGAGACCAGTACTCACTTGGTACGGGACGTCTTCGCCGAGTTTGCCTATCGTCGCCGCGACGTTGAAGGTAAGCACGCAACACTTGTCGGCATTCCACACGTACAGCACGTTGTCGCGTACTTCGAGAATGTTGCGGGTCTCTTTGGCACGGCACGACAGGCTCGCTTTAATGTCTTTGAACAACCGTTTCTCATTCAACCGCAGCAGATCCGTGCACGATGACATTTTCGACGAGCTACGAAACGACGACGCGAGGTTATGAAGCGCGACCCGGCACAACAACAAACGTTCGTCTGCCGTGCAACAGTTGTCAGTCCTGCGCTCGAGGCGCTGGCGGCCGCTAGAGAGTTTGCGAAAACGAAGTTGGCGGGCCTGCGTGCAGCAGCCACTTTCCCGCCAACTTCCACGCCAGCTGTCCGGCAAGTGTGATTTCGCGAGCGATTGATCTTTATTATTTTTGGCGAACACCGAGCTCGCGCGAGTCCCGCGCTACACCGTATCGCGAAATCACTGTTAATCGCTCGACGTGGTACGATTCGGCCGACTGTCCACGAATTTCTTACCTATTATTTTACGACCGGAACGACAGAGCAATCTCTCGCGCGTGATTTCTTCCGAACTCGTCGATACTCTGGAGATTACTTCGCGAAACAACCGCGGCGCGGCGTTACTGGTCGCGTCTCTTCCGGTTAACTTCCCTCCTTTTTATCTCGCAAATGGCGGTACGGTGAATTCGCGCGAATTTAGCGGGCGATTAATTCTCATTTTTTATTGATATCAAACGCTCGGGTGCGCGATCGCGAGTTATCAATCGTTTCTTCAGACACTCGTCTATCTCGTGTAATGTAGTCGTGCTCGATCTCGCGGTCGATATTTTATGTCGCCATACATGACATTTGCATATTCAACTCTGACAATGAGCTCGACATAGCACAGGTAAACGATTATGCTCAATTGAAATACTTTTAAATATTATTACGAATGATGATCATCTCGTTAGTATTATTAATATTTATGAATGTATGTATATGTGTAAAAAATATATATTATACATATATATGATATGTATGATTAAATGAATAAAATAAATTTATTACAGCAAAAAAAAGAATTCTAAAAGCAAGTAACCTTATTTGCTTCCAAGGCCCCGGAGGGATTCGAACCCTCGATCTCCTGTTTACTAGACAGGCGCTTTAACCAACTAAGCCACGGCGCCGTTGGACGAATGTGAGTACCTGCAATTTTATCAGTCTGTGCCCTAAAATTTCAATATATTACATTTTTTAAAGGGCAAATTGTAAATCTTAATTATACGATTGCTTCTGTTATATCAATGTATATCTAATATACGTTTTCACACACAGTACAAGATTATTAAATTAATATTATAAATACAGTAGTAATAATAATATGTCAATGTATAGTCCAAATTTTAAAATATATTGAGAATACTTTTTTTTAAATTTTACATATATAATGAAATTTTTTAATCTTTCTTAAATTCTTTATATGCTATAAATGTAGATTCTCTTTGTATTATTTAATATAAATTCACACTTTTATTAAATTGACTGCATAAATTAAATATACTTTTATTCATTTTCATTTGCATACAACAAAATATTGTTTATATTTAGAATTTACAAAAAAAACGCCCCCGGGTGGGCTCGAACCACCAACCTTTCGGTTAACAGCCGAACGCGCTAGCCGATTGCGCCACGGAGGCTGTTGAGTGGTCGTCTTTAATAGATCATAACAGCCTCCATCCTTTCTTTCTCTCACTCACTCTATACACATACAATTTTATTTTTTATATATTTTATCTTTTGTTACATGTATAATATGAGAAAAATAATATCAATATTATAAAATAATATAAAATAATATTTGATAAATCACACAGAGAATTAAAATTTACTCTGAAAATCATAGTAATTGTGGGACAATATAGTATTGGAAGAATTTTATAAAGAGTTTCTTTGATTAATATTTACAATAAAAATAATAATCTACTACAATAAGATATAAAATATGTTTGATTAATTTTGTTATGTACGTATAGTAAAATTTGCTATATACATATTAATCTTTTTTATTGTGGTAAATATTAATCAGAGAAACTTTTATAAAATTCTTTCAATACCATATTGTTCAATACCACGATTGCTTTGATTTCAGGGCAAATTCTAAGAGAAAATTCTATCTGTGTGCAAAGTTATATACATATAATTGAGATAATTTTTAATACTGTTGTAAAATGTGATATTAAGATGTTTTTATGGTAAATTTAATAACAGTTATAAAAAAATTATTTAATAGATATGCAATCATTAAGAGAGAAATATTTAAGATCGTCCTATTTGTCTTCATTTATTTACATCTCTTTGCAAAAAAAAAAAAAAATGAGAGTAAGTACGTCAGTGCAGAGATCTGCAAATTACTTGGTACATGCGAAGTGATTTGCAATTCATTTTCCGATAAGGGTCGACAATGAATTACACTCTAGACTACGTTAGAATTGTTTCCGGACTACTACTACTAACAAACGTTCGTACCTATAGATCCGCGGTATACTGCGATACAAATCGAACAGATGTGTCGACGCAAGAAAACTGCCGCGATGAAATATCGCTACGCGTTGCAATAAATTTGTTAGTCAAAGTTGCGTCGCGTGTCGCGACGATAATACGCGTGTATACAGCGGGAAATAGTCAGGCAGTTGCATCGAAACCATATACGGTTAATTAAATGGGGTCGGCTCATTAGTAACTGTCTATATGCAAGGCGATGGGCGAGACGCGATTGGAGGGTGGTCCCAAGGTGATTTATCCGTCACGATGGATCGCAGATGTTCGACTGGTACGCGACGCGGGTCATCACAATAATTAGGATGATAGCGCATCTATATGTATGCAGAACGAATATGCACGGTTGCATAATATGTAGATTATAGAAAGTAGTTGTTGCACAATATTGTGTTTTTTTTTCCAAAATAGACAAACAGTCTAGAACGCATTATATATTTCACGATATAATAGAGAAGTAAAATTGAAAACATTTCTGATTGTTCTGATGAATAATCTTTTAATACAATCAAATTAATTTTTTATTTCTGTGTCTATGTTTTACTGTATACAACGAGGAATGAAAGATATAAAGTAATTCTTACTTCGCATTCTAACGATTAATTGATATTGCATCTATATGTATGCAGAACGAAAATGCACAATTGCATAATATGTAAATTATAGAAAGTAGTTGTACAATATTGTTTTTTTTTCAAAACAGACAAACAGTCTAGAACTCATTATATATTTCAAGATATAATAGAAGTCAAATTAAAAACATTTCTGATTGTTTAATGAATATTCTTTTAATTGAATCAAATAAATTTTTATTTCTGTGTTTATATTTTACTATGTACAACGAGGAATGAGAAATATAAAGTAATTCTTACTTTGCATTAATCTAACGATTGATTCACGATGTAAATAATAGTGTTTTAATTTTTTTTAATAATATATTTCATCACACACATTGCAAGATTTGCTCTTAAAGATCTCTGCCGGAAGGAGACCTTCTGGTTCAGCAATGGTGACACTAACGGTCTGTTTAAATTGTGCGTTTAATTACAAGTAAGAGACAGTCGCTGCGAAATTTATCGGTCACTGTTATCGTCCCCTTCGTTCCTAATCTACAGAGCAGATATCTACGCTAAACACACAAGAGAACATATCCTTCGTCTGCAATAAGACGCTTCTCATTGCTTTTTAGTGCGTCTTCCTGGAGAAGCAATTAGATTTATCAGGCATATACATGTAATTTACTGTTGTTATGACTGCAAAATATATGGGACCAATTTAACAATAAATATACAACTCATGATACACGGAGCATGCGGAGATTTACAAATCTTTTCAAATTATTGATTAGAAGTGGACATATATTTGTTGTACATGTGTTATTTCAGATAATTTACATCACATAATTTACATAAATAATACTATTTATATAACATATTGGATTTTATTGCCGATTAAGATCAGATGTTAATTTGCTATTAATTTTTAAAAATAAGAACATTTAAAAAATTTAATAGCAAATTAACATCTGATCTTAGTTGGCAATAAAATAGTATTATTTTAGAAAAAAATTTATTCTTTTTATGTGAAAAAGAATGATTTTTTATATAAATATATATATTTTTAGAAATTATTTTAATTATCGAAGAATTCTTGTTGTGTGCACAAGTTTAGACACTACTTGCACATATTGTTACCGTTAGAGAATACATGGATCTCGCTTCTTATTGGATAGGAATTTATGGCCATAAATTTAACCGGTTGAGACGGTCGAGAGGTTGAGCTTCCTCTTGGAAGTTTACAATCCCTCGTTCTCTCTTGCTGTAACCAACATCCGCTCCCTCTCTCCTACTCGCGTTTTCCTCCCCTTCCCGGTACGGAAAGCACGGTACTTTACAGGCCATGGTAGATGTCTATGATGAAGGTGTGCACATTCTAGGATACACCGGGCTTGTAACGTAACGATGTAACGGGTGAGCATTGCACTGAAATCATGATGAATTCATTCAGAGTACGAATTAACATCCGGTGGGGAGTAAGTTTCGCTAAATGCCCCGGAAGAGAGAATGCACGCGAAACCGGCGATCATCAATATTCCATCACGGTAAACCAAAGTTGAGATTTAGCAAATTTTGTTTGCTCAAGAAATCACTCGAATTTATTAACCGCTTCAGCTCTCTCTCGTGCGGTCTAGTTTGTTATAAATATCTAATAATAATAATACATATTAATTCCATCTCGTACACATCTCGTTATTTTATGTTATAATTATGTTTATTAATTACTATATTCTCGTGCTGCATTCTCTTCGTGTTTGTTTGATATTATTTCATTATTTAATGCTTCAAAGAATAGAAGAATAATGATTTTAAACAATGTTAAGTACATCGAACATCTGATCTTGTTAGGTAACAAAGATTTTTATTAAAATTACTAAAATAATAAATATACTTGAAAAGATATTATAAGATTTAAGCGTGCATTAAGAGAAATTATTTTAAAAAATGTTATATAATTAATGAAGAAAAATTGTCAGAAGTATTAGTAATCAATATCATGCTATAATAATAACAGTTATCATTTCGGTGTCATAAGTATGACGTTTCTCCGCGCTTTTCTTTTGGCTAGTTTTTCTCATTCAATCAACTAATAGCCTGTAGGCTGAAGAGCACGATAGAACAGATCACGAACACCCGGTAGACAATACGTCTTGGCACTCGTAGGTCATTGTGGCGTTGAAAGGGAGTAACTTATAGGGGCATTGGGAATTACCAGTTTATTATTAGGGAGATAGCATAGAGGGCCAAGATCAGGGGTTGCTGTTAATTCTCCTAACACTTGGCTCCCTGGAGAGAACACGCTGCCTTAAGACTTCCTCCTTCTCGACTCACCCCATTGCGCGGCCGACATCTTGAATCGCTGCCGTGTTAATTAGTACGACTTTAAACGCGCCCGCATGCGGTAGCAATCGGGATTCTCTGAAATGATTTCGCCACTCTCTGGAAGATGTTAAGTTTCATACGTAGTCTTGCGGGGTAAAAAATTCAATTGCCAGCATGATCACATATCTTACGTTTTATAATGACTTATTGCGCTTGCATTTATGTAAATATTTATTTTGAATATTGATTTGAATAATCTCTTAAGAAAAACCTTAAAAATTTAATAATTTCTTTCTATACGTCTATATTTGAATGAATTAAAAGTATTGCGAAAAAGCAACGTAAAATGATAAAAATATACAATATTTCGAGATAAAATTATATATGACTAGCTTCATTATTTAGTGTTTCGGATATCCTCTCTGTACGAGAGAAGAGAAGATGAAATATCTTTCGCCACCCTCTTTAATCCGGATACGAAGGTGAAACATTTTCGGAGGCTCGGAAAGACGAGTCGGCGGGGCTTTGACGTATGGAAGATGTCAGTTGCGGGCTGGCACGATGGTGTCGTCGATTCGTCTTCCCTTTAGCCGCTACCTTTCGCGAATCCTTTCTGTTCCGCTATCCTTTACGTTATATAAATGGTGCCCGCGTCTGGTAGTCGCTGGCAAAATTTCGCCGGTCTCGCCACAGATTGCTTTATTTTCGAGACTCTTCGATTTATCAATTGGTTTCTTTGGGTTTCTCTCGGCGAGACTGGATC